TAACTCCCTCCTTATTGGCCTACCTCATCGCAGGCTATCCCCACTTCAGTCTATCACGAATTCTGCTGCCAGACTCATCCACCTTACTAACCGTTCTGTGTCTGCCACCCCTTGCCAATCCCTCTACTGGCTTCCAATTGCCCAACGGATAAAATTCAAAGCACTAACACTGACGTACAAAGCCATTTATAACTCTGCCCCAAATTATATCACCGATCATGTCTCCAAATATCACCCTAACCGTACTCTCCACTCCTCACAAGACCTCCTACTCTCTAGCTCCCTTGTCTCCTCTTCCCATGCTCATCTCCAGGACTTCTCCAGGGCTTCCCCCATCCTCTGGAACTCCCTTCCCCAATCTATCAGACTATCGCCTACTCTGCTCACTTTTAGGCGCACTCTGAAAACCTATCCCTTCAGGGAAGCCTATCCCGCCCTCAGCTAATACTGGAATCCTCTACTCTCCCAACCACTCCATCCCCCACAGTTATTACCTTTTGTACCACTATACTCTCCCTACTAGATTGTAAGCTCCAAGGAGCAGGCCCTTGAATCCCTCTTGTATTGAACTGTATTGTTACTGTACTGTCTCCCACCATATTGTAAAGCGCTGAGCAAACTGTTGGCGCTATATAAATCCTGTATAATAATAATGATAATAATAATAAATAAAAACTTAAAGCCTTCCACCCAAATACTGTGAAATGCAAATTCTTTTAATCTGACTAGTGGTCACATTAGGTCACAATTAGGGTAATCTAGGAGCTGTTGGTCATGAAGGCACAAATATGTACCCCAAAGAAGATCTGACTTTTGCCTCCACTGAAATCTTCCTATACCAACATGCATATGCCATATGTCATAGCTTACATGATGTTTCTCAATATATAATTTTGTTGCATTTGTTTTTATAGCTGTCTGAGGAGTATGGTCCTGTGTTTAGCATCCAGCTGGCTGCAGAGAAGATGGTTGTCTTATGTGGTTATGACGTTGTTAAAGATGCACTTATCAACCATGCGGAGGAATTTTATGAAAGACCAGATAATGCATTGTCTGCTAGAACATCAAATGGAAACGGTAAAATAAATAAATAAAAAGCCCTAAAATTTTTAGAATGGGAAGATGGACTGTTCACATTAAATACCATTCAGAACAGAAATATCCAGAATCAATCAATAAAAAAAAAAAAAAATAGAAAACCTCCATATACACAATCCTATACCCACAGTTGATTCAGAGGAAGGCAAAAACCCCTAAGAAAGCATGATCTAGTTTTTTCCAGGGGAAAATAATTTCTTCCTGATCCCCAAGGAGGCAATCACATATTCCTTGGATCAACTACCCCTGTACATTTAGTAATGTATCCAGATCTTTTTTTAACTCTTACTGTGAAGAAACCTTTCTGTTTGTGAAGGTTAAATCTCTTTTCCTTTTGATGTAAAGAGTTCCCCCTTGTCCTTTCTAATTCTCTTAAAATGAATAACTCAACACCAAGTTCACTATATGGACCACTTATGTATGATGCCTGGATATCATATCTCCCCCTAAATTGCAACTTTTCTAGAGAAAATAAATTCAGTTCATCTTTCCCCATAGCTGAGCTCCTCCATGCCTCCTTTCAGTTTGGTAGCTCTTCTCTGCACTTTTTTCCATTTTTCAATACCTTTTTTTCTGAACTGGTGTCCCAAACTGCATTTTCCAGGTGAGATCTTACTAAAGATTTGTACAGCGTCAAATTTAAGTCTCTCTCTCTTTTTTTTTTTTTAGCACTGATCACTGTATTGGTGTCACTGGGGATGTCAACAAGAAAACACCAAGTTTTTTTAGCAAAGACATTTAGCAGACTACATTTTGGCCTAAATTTATGACGAAATTTGATTTTTTTCAATTTTTTTACTGGACATGTTTAATAGCAAAAAGTCAACAATATAGTTTTTTTCTCAAAATTGTCGACCTTTTTTTTTATAGCATGAAAAACGCACAGATGGTCAAATACCACCGAAAGAAAGCTCAATTCGTGGGAAAAAAAGGACGTAAATTTCATTTGGGTGCAGCGTTGCATGACCACACAATTGTCAGTTAAAGTAACACAGCACCTATCGCAAAAAAGGGCCTGGTCAGGAAGGGGGGGTAATTCCTCAGGAGGGCAAGTTGTTAACTTTGGACATGAACCACATGTTATTTTTAGCCTTTTAATTTTTTTTTTTTATTTTTGCCCATGGGAATATATTTTGCAGTGTGTTTGCATACAGTCATTTCTGTTCTGTGTTGTTTAATGACAAAATCCCCTCCCAGTATCAATCTTGGAAAGTAGCCCTCAACCTCAGAGAATTTGCTCTCTTTAAAGTGTTTTTATCTTTCCAATATGTGCTTGTTGTTTTCAGCTAACATTAAATAAAATCATGTTAAGGTCGCTGATTCACAGATAATCTTTTACATGAACATAGGTAATAAGGTCTGCCATGTTTGAGATTAACAGTTCCAGTAGAGCTTTATTTCTAGTTGGGACTTATATAAACTATACGATAAAATTGTCTTGTAATAAGTTCAAAAATGTCTGGCCTGTTACTGTTCCAGCAGTGCTACTACTCCAGTCAATTTCAGAGTAGTTAAAATCCTCCATTATTATCACTGTCCCAGCTCTTACTTTCTGTCTGGGAAAGGAGCTGAGTCTCCACCTCCTCATTAACACTGGATGTCCTATAACAAACTCCAATCATTACACCCTTCATTATTGTCTAACCCTTGTCTGTCTTGTCTGCCCTATTATAATTGAATTCTCCCTCTGCCCTAAATCCTAGTTTAAATACTTCACTAGCTTACCCATAAACCTCTCTCCATGCACAACAGCCCCTCTTCCATTTAGGTGCATACCATCTTCAGCATATAGGTTGTACCCCAATGAAAGGTCAGCACAGTACTTTAGAAACCCAAATCCTTTCCTTGTACACCAGGTCTTTAGCCATGCATTCAGTTCCCTAAGCCCCCCCCCCCACACACACACACACATGTTTCCTGTATTGCACATGCCACAGGCAATATTCCAGAGAATATACCCTTGGAGGTCCTTTCCCTCAACTTGCAGCCTGGTTCTTGAAATTGATTCTTAAGGATCCTCCATCTTCCAAGTATTCTGTAACTAGTATCAACATGGACAACAAAAGCTGGGTTATGCTCAGTAATTTTTCAACCTGGTCCACCACATACCAAATCCGGCAGCAGATAGACAGAAAACCATTTGGCTGAGAGAATCTTGGCAAAAAATTATCCTTCTGATTATAGAATTCCCATCTACCACCAACTGTATAGGACTTCCTGCATTAAACCTGCCACCTCTACTAGATGGGCTGCTCTGCTGGCTGTTAGGGATAGCAGTGACATCAAAGCTGCCACCTCTGAGTTTGTCACACATCTTAACCCAACTTGGCATATTTGTTTGGGCACTCAAACACAGGACTGGCCTTTTCTGTGAGCCTGTATCTCTCCCTCTAACTACGTTAACCCTCTAACTACGTTGATCCTTCCTGATCATCCTGGCTTACCCTTCCACTCCCCACATCAACCCCATTAACCACCTGCTCAGTGTTGAGCAGAAGACTCCTTTCAGGGTTGTCTGTTCCACTCAGTGTTACATTTTGCTCCTCCAGATCACTAATGTGAGCCTCAAAGAGGGCAACCTGCTCACACCTCTCACAGCAATATTCATCCTAGAGCTATTGCTCCATCATTGTATACATGTGCCACATTGTGCACTGAGCAAAATCTTCAACCTTGCTACCACTCATTATCCCAGTTACAATATTAATGTTTCTTACAGTAAATGTAAGATGTTACTTACAGGTTAGAAGACTCTTGTTTTCAACTCCTGTTTTTTAATTCTCCACTTGGTTAATTCCACAATTCCAATGAGAGTCAGCAATTCCAATGCGAACCAGCTCAAATGTGAGCTGAACAGACAGGTATATTACACTTGTGAATAATGAACAACTTGTCTAAATTAGCATACAACTTATGCTACATAAGTATTAAAGCTCAACTTAAGCCAAAACCTATTTCAATTTGGATAACATTGGGATGGGTTTCACCCTCTGTCAGGTTTCTATTGATTTATGCTCATAATTCTACTCAGAAAATATTCCTTAATAGGTCTCTGCAAAGTATCTCATGTGCTCCAGAATCCACTAAAACTGATTAGCTTTTCAAGGCCCATTAGATTTGGAATGAAATTTTATGAAGTTTTGAGACAAGCTAGGCTAGCACTTGCAAAGTAGTAGTAAATAAATGATAATAGTGATTCAGCAGGGCAAAACATGGAAACATTGGTTTGCTTTCCAACATGTTTATTGTGAAGATGTAAACATTGGAGTTGATTTAAATAGACTTTTCATTTTACAGTGGGGAGTTGCACTTTGCAAGGGAATTTCAACAGAATTTTTATAATCTATTAAGATATATAGCGTAATTTTAAACCCAAGAATGATCATTAACATATTTTGGCTTACCAGTTGGGGTGGCTGAGTCAGTTTTCTATTTTCAAACTAAGTACATTTTCTGCGAGAACAGAAAAATTCCTGCTAGAAATCCAGGCCCCTTGTAACGTCCTGTGCAATGATCTTAAAACACTAACAATGCTAATATTCTTCCCAGTATTTGTTTGTATGAGACATTGAACTGAAAAAAAGAAAAGGAATGCAGCCACTAAATAAGGACTGCTAAGCTGCGATATATTTCATTTTTGTTCTGGGGTTTCGATATGCTTTAATACACTGGGGTTGATTTACTGAAACTGGAGAATGCAAAATCTGGTTCAGCTCTGCATAGAAATCAATCAGCTTCCATTGAAGCTTAATTGAACAAGCTGACATTAGAAGCTGATTGGCGAGCATGCACATCTGCAGCAAATGTTTGCACTCTCCAGTTCTAGTAAATCAACCCCATAAAGTGGAAGAGCTTTTATTACGGTATAAAAAGTTTAAATAAATAATAATTTGTGACTTATAAAGTATTTCAGAAAAGATAACTAAAAGTTTCTTGACCTAGATAAATTAAAATGTAAATTCTTTTCAGGTGTAATCTTTGCCCACGGAGAGAACTGGAAGGTAATGAGAAGGTTTACACTTTCAACATTAAGGGATTTTGGAATGGGAAAGAGATCTATAGAGAACAAAATCCAAGAGGAAGCAAAATGTTTAATGCAAGAATTCAAATCCTACAAAGGTGAATTTATACTAGGGTATGGGTTCCTTGTAATCCCAGTGAAGTCCCACTCCTAATCTGTCAGGCTTTACTGATGTATATTCCCCAGTGGGGAGATTTCCTTTCACTTCCTGTTGTGCTACTGTAATAGAAAATATAAGGAAAGGTTTCCAACATGTAGAAAGCAAAAAAAATAGATATTAATTGAATGTTTTGTTTTTGGCAATTATTGTTCACAGGATACAATCTTTTTTTTTTGGCTAGAAACTTACTTAATACCCCCAGATATTTTATATATATATATATATATATATATATATATATATATATATTTATATTTGTATTTTTTTTAAAGGAGAGGCCCTATAGAAAAAAATTGGTGGTGGACTTTGCATTCTTTTATGTCTTACTGTATTTTCACAGTGGTTTGTCACATTTTTTTTTGGGGAAAAAATACACTTTTTTTCAATTTTAATAGGAAAAAAAACCACAATACATAACACAATTTTTTGCAAAATATAAAAGATGATATCACACCAAGTAAATAGATACCAAACATGTCAGACTTTAAAATTGCGCCCGCTCGTGCAACAGCAACAAACTACGTAAATTTTACTATCCATAGGGGACACTTTAAAAGCATTTACAGGTTACCACTTTAGATTTACAGAGGAGGTCTGGTACTAGAATTACTGAACTTGATCTGATGTTCGCAGTGATACTTCACATGTGTGGGACAATCGCTGTTTGCGTGCATGCAGGACCGACGCATGCAACAGACAGGGGAACTTTTTTTTTTTTACACTGTCACTTTAAAAAATATTTTGTTGGTCACTTTTATTGTTGTCACAAAGAATGTAAACATCCCTTGTGGCAGCAATAGGCATGTGACAGGTACACTTTATGGAGTAATCTGGGGTCAATAAGACCCCAGATCCCTCCTCTGCCCTTAAAAGTATTCAATCACACCAAGATTGGTGTGAATGAATGCTTTTCTTTTTTAATAATGGTGCCATGTATTTCTGAGTAAACTGAAAGTGATGTCATATCATCACTTCCGGTTTACTATATAACGGAGCTAAAAAAAAAGCCAATCTGGTCTTTGTTTGGCTCTGTGACCAGTCGGCAGTAGTGCTGGCTGATTGATTGGAAATTCCTGGTGGGGCAGAAGATCCCATGAAAGTGACAGAAGGCGAAAGGGGGTGGAATCCCCTCCTGCTGTTTATAATAGAGAACAAGCATCTAGTTAGCTGCTCTGGTCACTATTACAAGAAAGTCAGCTGTCAATAAAAGCTGCAGGCATCATCCTGGTACATCCAGTGGCTTACAATGTAATTGACTGCTTGGCAATTGGTTAATAAAATTGAGAAAGAAAACAAAAAAACCCTGTATGTTTTTTTTTATTGGTCTCTTTTCCTGTTGGGAGATTTTTCTTGCTTCCAGTTCATTGAAGTTATTTTTAACTGCTTGCCATCCATGAAAATGTTGACATTTTTATATATATGTTAAAATGAGTATTTTTGCACTATAGAATTACTTAGAACCCTCAAACATTATATATTTTCTGAAAGCAGAGAATAAAATGGTGGCTGCTGCAATCTCATATGTCACACAATATTTCTCCAGCCATTTATCAAATGCAAATTTTCAAGAAAAATATTCTTAAATTAATTTTAGTGCACACAAAACACAATATAATACCCAATTTTCAATAAAATATAAAAGATGATGTTGCATCAAGTAAATAGATACCCAAACCTGTCAAGATTTAGGATTGTGCATTTCTGTAAAATGGTGACAAATAGTAGCTAAAACTGTCCATAAGTAATGCTTTAAAAACCTTTACAGTTGTCAGTTTAGTGTTAAACATGAGGTATGAGCCCAGAATTATTGCTGTCACTCATTTACATTTACAGCGATACCTCACATGTGTGGTGCAATCACTGTTTACATATGCATGCTGAACCTATGTGTGTGTTGGCATTTGCGCATGAGCACAGAGGAGTGGGGGGATCCTTTAATTTTATTATTTATTTTATTTCGTTTTTTTACCCTTTTAAAAATGTTCTTTCATTTAACTTTATTGTTATCACAAAGTATGGGCAAGACCCCTTGTCATAGCTTTGGGCAATAACAGGTACTCTTTGTGGAGACACCAGGGGACTATTATTTATTACAGATACTTATATAGCGCCATCAATTTACGCAAAGCTTTACATGTGTATATATATATATATATTGTACATTCACATCAGTCCTTAGCCCTCAAGGAGCATACAATCTAAGGTATTGGATCACTGATTCCACCTCTTTCCTCCAAGGCAGCTGATCAAACAGATCAGGCTCTAATGGCAAGGGGAGGGCAGCTCTAACTATAAGTGATGAAATCCTCGCTGCTTCTGGCTTCATTCATCACAGAGAAGGTTGGGGAATAGATATTCCTCCATCTCCTCTGCAGGCAGCCAACCGGCCCATTTACAGCAGCAGGTGGCTGCGGAAGGGAGGGGGTGGGTCCATAGCACTGTAAAGTGAACCTATGTTGGATGAACCCTCACAAGTTGGTTTGTCAGGCAATTTATCCTACAAGTCCAAAGGTCAATCAGTCAGTTTGGGTTTTCTTGACCACTACACTAAGATAATATTGTCAGTTTAAAAACTAATTGTCTGGATGTGTCATGCATCTAGTTATTTCACATCTTTGTTCTCTGTTTAAGGTGAACCTTTTGAAAATATGACCATCATCACCGCTGCTGTAGCCAACATTATCGTGTCTATATTAATGGGGTGACAGATTTGAATATGATGATCCAACCATACTAAAACTCATGAGTACAGTGAATGAAAACGTCAGGAGCTTTGGAAGTATTATGATCAGAGTAAGTAGTGCAACCATCAGCTGAAAGGGCTGAGCCTTATCTCTTTAGTTCAAATGTTCCTGGATTTATTTTTACTTTATTGACTTTACAAAATCATCAAGCCATGTTAGATGTAAAATGGTTAAAGTACCTAAAAGATCAGAGGGCAGTCTGAAGTGATGGGACCAGCACCTTGGTACCCTTTAGGGCATATAAAATAATGCTTAGCTTGGATTGTCAGAGGCAAAAGTTGGAAGTATTGGTAAGTCTTATAATCTGTCAGGTTGACTTCCTCCCAATAGTGGATGATGGATGGTTGATTAACTTAGCTCATAACCACATTAAATAAAAACTGTAGAAAAGAAAAAGATAGAGAAACCGAGCTTATTGTAAATCTTGACTAACCAAATTTTTTTCATTAAATTTAAAGGCGAAACCCAGCTGCTATTGGCAATAATGTCTTGTGTGAGATCATCAGTTACATCATTAGTCTTCAGTATAAGTTACTCTTTACAATCTTGAAGTCAACACTCAAAAGATATTGGCTAAGAGTTGAGTATGTGGTCTCTGAGTTACAAAAGGGTTTCAGCCAGCCACATAATTATTGATTAATATGGCATACAAACTGCCTCTTATACATTGCTATAGATAAGGAAAAACATCAATCATAAATAAGAACCAATGTGTTCTTTTTAGCTGTGTGACCTTAGCTGGAAGAAGGCCAGCTTCCAGGTTTGGCCAGATCAGTATTACAGATATCCATGGGTCTTGAGAACAAATTATGATTTACATTAAGGCACTAGAAAGTAAGGACCCGAATGACCAACCATTTACGGTTTACCAGTATGTAGTGGCATACAATTATATGAATTTAATTTTAACAACAATTTTCATTATTATTTTTTTTTCCATTAGCTTTACAACATGTTTCCAAGACTGATAAGCTTACTTCCTGGCAGCCATCAGAAAGTCTTTCATAACTTTGAACACATGAAGGCTTTTATAAGGGAGGTATTTACAAAACAGAAGAAAGTATTGGACGTGAATGACCAAAGGAACCTTATTGATGCATTTTTGGCAAAACAGCAAGAGGTACAAGTTCTGTTTGATAAATTACTGTTATTTGTCATTTAATTAAAAAATAGATCTACATAATACTTGAATTTGTGTATACCTTCCAAAAATGGGGGTTATTGATCATTAGATGTCCAGGGCAAATTTAGCCGAGTTCATATGTGTTGGTTAAGAAAAATAAAATCGTATGACTAGTGATCACATGATTGAGAACCAAGGTGATGGCTGTATCTGACCGCACAACACTGGAACAGAATTAGCTGCAAGCACAGGGCTTGACTAATAGTTCTCAATGGGGATATTTTTAAATGTATCCTAAGCATGGGGCATTGTGCTCAGTAATAGTTGGAAAATCTGTGGTCTTAAAAGTAAATTTTTAATGGTCATACTCAGAAAATTATCATTACAGCCAAAAGATGATTATACGGGGCGATATAAACATTTTAAATGTGTAAATTTTTTTCCATTTGTTGTTTGCTAGTTCATCCAACTACCTTCAGTTCTTTTTTTTTTCCTTTAGCTTGTTGTTACATTCATTTGTGATCTTCACCTATATTATATCTAGACACTCATATCCCTTAAAATAAAGCTTAATAAATGGGTTCATTTTTCCATAGTTCTAAAAGATCTTATGACTCCACTCATCCTCTGTGCCCCTTTTTCCTACAGTTGACTTGCTGAACTTAAAACAGAGTTCCAGTCCCCCCCAAAAAAATTTCTAAAAGATCATCCATGATGACATTACAAATATAGCAATCAGAATTGGAATAATGCAATATTAAAAACATTGAAATAACTTTGCAAATCGTTCATACTTACCTAGATCTGTGAAGCAGGGAGTCGCCATGATGGCAGTGGGCATCTGAAGCCCGCAGGTCTTTACTTCCTGAATTCGTGCTGCTGGCTATCCCAGCATGCAACACTCGGCAATGCTTGGTGCAACGTGTGCAGTACAGGTTGCCGTAGCAATGGTGGGGATGGATGAAGTTCCCGCTCCCGTCAGGCAACCTGTACATCACTTCAATATTGCAGACACGTCCTCCTCTCAGCATGGACTCCCACCGCCCATTTGCGTCACATTCGGGTTTCATGTCTCAAGAGCACAGGAAACCAAAGGACTCCTGGGATACAGGAAACGACATCCCAGGAGACCTTGCAAATCGCCGATCTACGTCATCGCCTAGGCATTCGGGACTGGAACTGCAGGCTTGAAGAAGATAAAAAGGTATGTATAAGAAAAAAAAAAAAAATCCAACTTGTTCTTCTTTTTTCAGGGACTATCTAATAAGGCCAATTTGTAAAAATGGGTGGAACTCCGCTTTAACAAATGTCTACACTACAAGTAGACATACATGGAAAAAAAATGTAAAAAGTCATTATAATTTAAAAGTGTTTTTGGTATCTCCTCTAACCCTACCACCATAGGCAATGGCCAATGAGCTCTTTATGGTAACAGCTCTGACTATGACAGTGAGATGTGATGGGATTATTTTCAGATAGGATATTGATTTTACATGTTCTATTCTATATTTCTGTTGTGCAGGGAAAGCCAGATTCCACCTTGTACTTCCACAATGACAACCTAAATGTACTGGTGAACAACCTTTTTGCTGCTGGAATGGAGACAACATCCACTACTCTGCGATGGGGCCTCCTACTAATGATCAAATACCCAGAAATACAAAGTAAGATAAAAGAATTCAAGATGTGCCAAATTACACTCGGCGATCCTGTCTGGATTTTATAATAGTTTGTCTCTAGTGCAATTGCCATTTACATGTTGTACTCCTGATTTCACAATCCTGTAATTTAAAAGGAAATAATAGAGGCTGCCATTGATAGCCATTCCTTCTGAAACAGCTTTGAGTTTTGCGGGAAATAAAAAATCCTGAAAGCTTCACATCACTGAAAACCCTGTGTGTGAGAGTGTAACAGCCTCACCTTAATGTATTAATGTATCCTTGGAACTGTGCATCATGGTGTGGAATGCTAATAAACATATTTCAGGCAGGGAGGGGTTAAAGAGATTCTCTTGCTTTGCCATGCATAGTTTACTTTAACATTTTTGCAAAAAAAATTAGAGATTTTATATTGTATTTGCGTTACTAAGCATGCTCAGTCAGATGCTCTCTTTCCTGCTTCATAGGTATCTTACTGCTTTTGGGTATGCCATATGGACAGTAGTAATAGTATAAAAAAAAGTAATATTGTTATAATGAAGTACCATTTCTTTTTCTTTAATGTATGCATCTGCTTTCAGTGCTATTTGTATATTCACTTATGTGGGTCTTTTTCAGAAAAAGTTCAAAATGAAATTGACAGAGTGATTGAATCAACTGAACCCCAAAGTGAGCACAGGAGGCAAATGCCGTACACTGATGCCGTCATTCATGAAATCCAGAGGTTTGCTGATATTGTACCTCTGAATGTCCCACATGCAACTGCCAAAGATGTCACATTTAGAGGGTACAACCTGCCAAAGGTCAGTATAAAATACATTGTGTACTGAAAAAGCATGGGACCCAGGGTTCAAGCACATGGATTGTGGGCTCCATTTAGTACCCCACAGGGCTGGATTAAGAGAATCATGGGCCCAGTGCTGAGGATATAGGTTGGCCTTTTTATGCAAATACATAAAATGAAATGGGAATTTTTTGTTAAAACAAATTAAATATATAGAGTTTTAGAACTTTACTAGGAATGTATTGCTATTTGTGTTCACTGAGGAGGTTCATGCTCTCCATTTTTTCTTGCTGACCATCGTTACCTAGACAAAGAGTTATTGAAAATCCCAATTTTTTCAGCTGCCACCGTAAGAAATGTAGAGAGGAATTATCCCAATGAGGCCACTTGCTATAGTGACAGAGGGCCCCAGTGGGTTATTTTCACTTCTACTTCAGTTTTTTGTTTGTTTTTTTGTTTTATTTGCTGTTTGTGTCCTTTTGGAAAGTTTTTTTTTTAATTATTTCTTGCCCTGGAGATACAACAGGTATGGGAAGAAAATCTTCCAAAAGAACACAGACAAGACAGAAATGAACCATTCCCTACTCTACCCAAATCTGAAAAACACCTAAAATGGTTTTCCAAAAAATATTTTGCATCATACTCAAGCTACAGTAAATACTACATACTAAAGTGCAAACACTTCTAAATTATATTATTGTGTGTTTTTTGCTCCATAGGGGACCACTGTCATCCCATTGCTGACCTCTGCCCTTAGAGATAAAGCTTACTTTGAAAAACCAGATGAGTTTTATCCTGAACATTTCCTTGATTCAGAAGGAAAGTTTAAGAAGAATGAGCATTTATACCATTCTCACTAGGTAATGTTCTTTGGGATCAGGTAATTGATGATGTTGTGTCATATCAATAAACAGTAAGGTACTGTACATTCACACAGATCAGAGAAGGCTCATAGTATTTCAAGATATTCTCAGTGTGTTGAAAAAGTATTCTTGTAAGGTAGCTAGTAATGGCCAAATTCAACTGGACATGTTCTGTAATGGTAAAGAGTTTTGTAGCTTATTAAAGCAACTCAAGTTCTAATGAGTCATGAACATACCCAGAATTTATATCCATGCAAGTAGTACAAACACCTTAATCCAATCACAGAGAAAGAGAAGACAACTGGTTTGTAAGTGGCTTGCATGAGGCCATCTACTTCAAACTGGACCAACCAACCTTGACCAACCAACTGAACAACCTTTGGCCCCATCTGTCTTCCACATATAATGTCGCTTTAACATTTATATCCTGATCTGACAACAGTTTACACCTTCAGCCAAGTAAATAAAAGGATTCACACCTATACAGACATTCAGACACCAAAGAATAGTATTATTTATCTAGAACAGGCTGGTTCTACAGATTTCATACCTTATATCCTGTTTTTGAACAATCAGTATCTTTCTTAAGCATTCCATGGTGATTGGATATTAAAGCAAATCTTCACCCTAAAGAAAAGTTCTTCTTTATGTCCCCCAACACCTTTGGTCATTTTTTTAGAGGGGGGGGGGGTACCTTCCAAAAGTAAGTACCCACTGCCCCCTCAAAAGAAAAATGGTGGTCAAATCATTCTGGCAATCCCACCGGTAGTTTGGCCTCTGCTCTCTTTGCCCACAAACTCTTGGGACACATCAGTTTGCACATGCACAGTGGGAATCACAGCTAGCTTCTCACACTAAAGATGCCAGAGCTGGGTACCCAAAGACCATGCAGAGAAACAGCCTGGGTGAGGTTACTGGTGGATCCTTGGATAGGTAAGTATCCTTTTCTTAAAAGTCAGCAGCTACAGTATTTTTAGCTGCTGACTTATTTTTTTGCAAACAGTCTGAAGGACCGCTTTAAGTTCTCTGGTTCAGACATTCCTATGCTTTTAACCCTTTTACTTTCATCATTGTAACTTTTATGGCAGGACAGAAAAAGGTTGTCAAGAGGCTTACAGTTGCAATGTCAGCAATGGGCTTGTTCTCAGATTTGACAGCCCTCTCTGCTCCATAAATGATTTGGGCAGCTGTAAAGCCGAATAAAAAACTTCTATGGGGCTACCCATTCCCCCTCCCAGAACCTCATCACCAATGGTGCCTGGGTTCACCTGGAGGTGCATTCAAGCTGGAAGGTGGGAGGAAATCAGTGAACTTCCATCACTGATCTCCTCTGCATTGCTTGAATCAGGAATAGCTCAGTTTTGAGAACTTGAGGTCACATAGCTATATCACACTGGCAGCTTTCACTTTAGCAATATTCAGAAATGTTAACACTGAAGTTTTAATTTTTTCCTTCCTTCAACAGGTAAGAGAAGCTGTGCTGGAGAAAACCTGGCTAAGATGGAGCTGTTCTTATTTTTTACAACACTGCTGCAAAACTTCACCTTCCAGTCCCCTCCTGGTGTTGTGTTGGACCTGACCCCTGCACTGGGGTTCACCAATGCCCCCTTACCACATAAGATCTGTGCTACACCTCGCAGTTAGGACATAGACAAGCCAATCAATAACTATGACTGACCCACATGCAAAAAAAACCCAACAAAATTTCAATTTGCAATATACGTGAAATGGAAATCCACTTTTGTTCAGAAAAATAAAAATATGCTTCAAGTTATTTACATCCATTGCTTGGGTGTCAGGAAAAAGCCATTACAGATTCTTTCTTGCTTGTTGTGATGTTATGTGGACTATGTTTTATTCATCTGCATCAGCTCTACGTACAGTATTGGAAATCTAATTTAAAATACCCCTCACTTTTATACATGAAGCTGTTGTTTTGTAAGTCATTATTATCTTCTGTGTGCCACTCTGCGTTCTTCAAATGCCAGTCAATGCAACAGACTGAGAGAGAGCAGGATTCTACATTACAATAAATGGAATAGTCCATAGTATATTCAGATCATTTCAGTTTTCTCAATATGTCAGGTTGTAGAAAGTAGATGTTTTTTAGATTAGATTACTGCATGTAAAATAAATGTGTATATATGCTCTTTGTTACTTATTATTACATGTAAATTATATTAAGCATAAACAATTGCACAAATTATTTGTAATTACTAGTACATTACTAGTACATTGTAAAACTTGTGTCTTGTTAATAAAGAAAAATCTTGCCAAAAATATACTCAGTCTGATTTCATTGCTTACAAAATATAACATTTATATGGCCTTGTATAGTGTAAAATTTCCACAAATAGATTATTTCTTAACCCCTTAATGCCTGCACCTTCTGGCCCTTTAAGAGCTTACTGAGGTTGGGAGGTTGGGTGAGGTTTCTGATCATGTGACCGCCATGATTGGATGTCACAGTGGTCACATGATCGGAAATCTCCCGATCACAAGCAGAGAAAGATGCTTTCCGTTAGCAGCAGGGTGCTCGCTCTCGGCAAAGATCTGTTTACATTCAACCAGTGGGATCTATTGCATATACATATTTTGTATTTTCATAAGCAGGTAACTCTTGACTGCTTTTCACATGTTGTCTTGGCTCTCCTTAGAAACTCTACTGAGAAAGACCTGCTTTACAGAGCTCAATAGCTCAAGCTGAAATTATAGTGTATGCATAATCCAAAGATTTCTTTTTAGTTCTGTATAGAGTAGCTCAGTTAACCATAAAATCTTAAAGTGATAATAAACTTTGTTTTTTAAAAAAATTGCCGACAGACAGGATACTTATGACAGAATAGACCCTATTGATCTCTTCTGTCATAAATTCCTTTTTCTGCCTGTTAGCCGTCAAGTACATTGAGCTGCTCATGCGCAGCTCAGTGAACATTTATGGCCCCGATCTTTGCCGCTGCAATGTGACTCCCATGCACATTTGCAGGAGTGACATTATCGTGCCCCGGTCAGTGAAGCGGCCAAAGGAAGGAAGACCGGGTAGAGATGGAAGCTGCCGGTACCCACCACATCATTTACAGTGCAGCGCTGGTGGTCTTGGTTTAACAGGTAAGTACGTCATAGTATGCTGTGCATACTAGCACATTATGGCATAACTGACCTGGGGGACTTTACTACCACTTTAAAACCCCACTGTTGTAATTAAAGACCTGTCTTTTTTTATTATGGGCTGACAAAAACTATTTGTTATATTCTGTTATTTCTTTTAGTACTGTAATTACAAACATTAAACTTTTTGTGGCCAGAGGTTATCATTTCCTAGATGTCCAGGCCAAATTTGGTAGCAGCAGCAGCAAACCCTTTTTTATTATGGGCTAACAAATGTACAAAAATGTAATCAAATTGTTTTTTAAAAAATGTTTTAGAAGGTTTTTTTTTAATATAATTGTATTTGACCTTTACACTATTACGTAGATGGCATATCAAATGAACACTGCTGTCTAAGGCTAGGTTCACACTATGCGATTCCTGCACCAGTAAGTACCTGCAGCCGCTTAGCGTTTTTCTTGCAAGGCGTGGGGGGGTGCTATTCATTCTGAATGGTACACCCATGCATCCCATCCCACAGTGAGATCATGGGAACCGCATGGAAACTGCATTGTCAAAAAAGAACACGCAGCAGCCCATTCAAATGAATGATTGCTGGTGTGAATGGGACCTAAAGTTGGTTAGGATAATTTGCAAACTGAAGGTTTTAATTTTTATCAGTGAGGCCTCCAGCTTACATATGATCACTATGTCAGTTCTGAAATATGCATCACATCAGAGAGAACCATTCTGAATGAGAGTCAGAAGCTGTCCAAATTGTCAACTGCTCACTCTCAAAGGACAGGATGTTCTTTATTTTATCCCTAAATGGAGCATCATCCTAGGGCATAAAATGTATCTAAAGCCTAAAACAAAAATATAATACACTGCTCAAACAAATTAAATTAGCACTTTGAAAACACATCAGATGGGGAAAAATATCATGCTGGATATCTTAAGTGATATGAACTGGGTAATGTGTAAGGATGCCCCATCGTTGGATGGAAATTAAAATTATCTCCCTACAGAGGACTGAATTCAAAGACACCCTGAAAATCATAGTGGAAAAATGATGCAGCAGGCTAGTCCATTTTGCTGAAATTTCATTGCAGCAACTAAAAAAGGTTCTCAGTTTGTATGGCCCCCAAGTGCTTGTATGTATGCCTAACAAAGTTGGGGCAAGCTCCTAATGAGATGCTGTCCTGGAGTATTTCCTCCCAGATCTGGGCCAGGGCATCACTGAGCTCCTGGGAAGTCTGAGGTGCGACCTGGCGGCGTCGGATGGACCGAAACATGATATCCCAGAGATGTTCTATTGGATTTAGGTCACGGGAGTGTGGGGGCCATTCAATGGTATCAATTCCTTCATCCTCCAGGAACTGCCTGAATACTCTCACCACATGAGGCCAGGCATTGTCGGGCAGCAGGAGGAACCCAGGACCCACTGTACCAGTGTAGGGTATGACAATGGGTCCAAGGATTTCTCCCTGATACCTAATGGCAGTCAGGGTTTCATTGTCTAGCCTGTAGAGGTCTGTTTGCCTCCATGGATATGCCTCCCCAGACCATCACTGACCCACCACCAAAATGGTCATGCTGAACGATGTTACAGGCAGCATAACGTTTTCCACGGCTTCTCCGGACCCTTTCATGTCTGTCACATGTGCTCAGGGTGAACCTGCTCTCATCTGTGAAAAGCACAGGGTGCCGGTGATGGACCTGCCAATTCTGGTGTTCAATGGCAAATGCCAATTGAGATCTATGGTGCCGGGCCCTCAGGTCACTCTCATGAAATTTGTTTCTGATTGTTTGGTCAGAGACATTCACACCAGTGGCCTGCTGGAGGTCATTTAGTAGGCTCTGGCAGTGCTCATCCTCTTTCTCCTTGAACAAAGAAGCAGATACGGGTCCTGCTGATGGGTTAAGGACCTTCTACGGCCCTTTCCAGCTCTCCTAGAGTAACTGCCTGTCCCCTGGTATCTCCTCCATGCTCTTGAAACCTTCTGGCAATGGCACGTATTCATGTGCCATCCTGGAGGAGTTGGACTGCCTGTGCAACCTCTGTAGGGTCCAAGCTTCGCTTCATGCTACAAGTAGTGACACTGACCCTAGCCAAATACAAAACTAGTGAAAAACAATCAGTAATGATGAGTAGGGAAAAAAATGTTAGTGGCTTCCACCTGTAAAACCATTCCTGTTTTGGGGGTCATCTCATTGTTACCCATCTAGTGCACCTGTTGTTAATTTCATTAACACCAAAGCAGTTGAAACTGATTAATAACCCCCTCTGCTACTTAACTGATCAGATCAATATCCCAGGAGTTTAACTGACTTGATGCTATACTCTGGTTAAAAGTCTTCCTTTAATTTTTTGAGCAGTGTATATTAAAGGAGGTGGTTGCATTAGATTTCTTTTAGGCTTTATTCTTTTTTTTCACCTGGTGATCCTATTAGCAACAAACATCCTGTTCTAGAGGTGAAAGATCACTCATTGCTTTGTATATATGGAGCAGAATTGTCATCCTAGGACAGAAAGTGGTTTAGCACTACAGAACACCTAGGGGGACATGTCCTATAGTCCTCAGAGAGAGCTGGAAACAATGCTAACTTATATAAGTGCAGTGTAGTAGAAGCAGAGACCACAGAAAACTAGCAGGTCACTAGATTTCTGGCAGGATCAGAACAACACTAATAAATAACAAAATAATAAACAAAATAACAAAATGATTCAAGTAAGTGTAGCTACCTAGGACAGGAAATGTGCTATTTAAAGTGTTACTAAACCCAGCATGCTTGTTATACTCATTATGCAACCTAGGGGGTAATCCTCTGAAGAATCCCCCCGTTCTTCCAGTGCCCCCATCTTATCTCCTGATAAGACATATCCTGGTGAGAGACTCTGCACATGCTCAGTTTGGTGTGTATTGCTAGAGAGGTTTTTTTTTTCTTGAGAGAGTGCATTTGATCAGGACAGGGCCAATCAGCACTGTCCAAACATATGTCAGGTGTTCTGCATCCTCCTAGATCAGAAGGAAATTTTTTCTACATTCTTTAATCAGTGCTCTGTTAGACACTGATAGAAGTCACAAGACTGCTCCAACTGCTGATGATAAAAAGGCATTTAGCAGTTTATACTTACTACAATAATTGCATTTCCATGTCCTGTGTACTGTGGGAGACCAGATATAGTGAATGCAGGGTCCTGGGCTTAGTAACGCTTTAAAGGATTTGTAATGAAAAAAATTAAGAAAAAAGCCTGAAAAATATCATATAACAACCACATCTAAGGGCCGGTGTGCTCTGATATATAAAAAAATATATATTTTTCAGGTTTGGCTATGCTTTAAGCCTAATGGGGGGAGGAGGTGTTTCAAGAACTAATTGTTCAGGCTTATTAGTTTGTCTTCCTCCAGAGTCCACTCTCTCCATTATTTTCTTATCGCTGCCATGTTCTCCACCAAATCAGCAACTTCTTTCTTTGGCCATTTATCAACCATTGGTGATCTAAATACTGTGAATGCATGCTAACCTTGCTTTGTCCTGGCATTTTCCATCCA